AGAGAGAGAGAGAGAGAGAGAGAGAGAGAGAGAGAGAGAGAGAGAGAGAGAGAGAAAGAGAGAGATAGAGAGATAGAGAGAGAGAGAGAGAGAGAGAGAGAGAGAGAGAGAGAGAGAGAGAGAGAGAGAGAGAGAGAGAGAGAGAGAGAGAGAGAGAGAGAGAGAGAGATAGAGAGAGAGAGCGAGAGAGAGAGAGAGAGAGAGAGAGAGAGAGAGAGAGAGAGAGAGAGAGAGAGAGAGAGAGAGAGAGAGAGAGAGAGAGAGAAGAGAGAGAGAGAGAGAGAGAGGGAAAGAGAGGGAAAGAGAGGTAGGCAGAGGAATGATAGACGAAACAACAACAATTCAATCTGAGCTAGGGGTGAAAGTTGGCACTGAGATCCCGAGTTCGAGTACTCTGATTTTCTCCGATCGAATATTCGAGTATTCGAGTATTCTTCATCTCCTAAAATTTGCACACCAAGGGCCTTAAAATCACCTGATACAACCCTGGTTGAACCGAGTAGCAGTCATTTTTCTCGCCGCGGGTATATTGGTTGGTGGGTCATTTGGGCTCTCTGTACTCATGAACAAATATTCACCACACAGCCTGCACATCAATATCTGCCGATTGCTGCTCTGAAACTGCAGATTTCTATGGTTAATGCATGTACCATGTATGAACGAGTACTCTGATTTATTCCGAGTACGATTATTTTTGAAAAAACCGAGCGAGTACTCGAGTATTCGGTATAATTGTTTCACCCCTAATCTGAGCACTAACTTTGTAATTGGATTCAAATATACACAGGTAAAATGGCAATCCTGGCGTCTTCGCGTGCGGACATGCAGTTACAGCCATGCCGTTCTGAGCCTTGTCCCATTCGCCCACGGGGATCGCCACGTTGGCCGCTCCTCGACCATCATGCCCCCACGAATTACGTGCGCTGCACGCGCCAGTGACGCTCCACCAAGTGGCCCGCCAATTTGAACTCGCGCTGAACTCCTCAAGCCCTTGCTCCTCTTGCTCCTGCCACAGCGTAGTATCTATGACACTGGGCTCGTCTTCAACATCGAGCAGCTCGACTTCAATGTCCGTCTGGGACATCTCTACCTCTGCCTGGGCCACAGAATTTGCCTCGTGCGCCAGCTCATGGGCACGGATGATCAGAATCGTCATATCAAACCTCTGTATTTCCGTATGACTCACTAGTCCTCCGCAACAAGCTCAAACAACTCGCCGTCGTGATAATTCTCCTTAGCAGCGTCCATTATGGGTGAATCATCTTCATACGAGACAGAGGGACTGGAGGCGGATTCACCGAGGATGCGGTAATACAGCTCGATCGCCTCTCTCCCGAAGGTATTTCGCGTTGACGGACACTGCGCATTTCCAGGATCGACCGCTCAGCCACAAAGGCAAAAAAGCCAAAGGGGACCTACCGGGGTTCGTGGATGCTGTGTAAATCTACCGGATGTCTAAGTAGTTATAGTTCTACACTCTACAGATTACAGACTGTCAGTCAGTACATGATCATTAGCCGATTAGGTGTCTGTGTATGGGGATCAGAACGGTCACTAGATCTACACTACAGCGACTTGGCCCTTAGCTGTGACCGCAGATCAACGCGTCAGGCGGACGTGTTTAGGTGGTGGAATCCCCGCGCCGCAAGGCCCCCACCACACAAGTCTCTGCCCCTGAATCCTGAAACCACCCATGCCCGGCCCGGCGCGTACAAAAGTGCATTGACTGGATTTAGCAGCACTGTAGTGTAGACCTACGACTACACCTGTACTCTGTAGTACTACTACTACTACTACTACTACTACTACTACTACTACTACTAGTGGATCTACTACTACAGTGCTGGCAACTGAAATCCGACCCCTGAGCGGTGCGCTCACATCGCAAAGGCCAACACGGGATGGTAAAACTTCGAAACAGTGACCCTAGGATGAGGGCGCACCGCTAAGGGGTCGGATTTCAGTTGCCAGCACTGTACTAGTAGATCTACTACGGACCGGTCTAGCGAGCTACAAAGTACAAGTCCGACTCATCCGACACAGTCGGTAGATGCTGTCACCATGAGAGCAGGGAGTGTCGGTGCAGACCATGAACTGGCTGCACTGCCCCTGGATCGCTACTAGACGCTAGACCTTTCACGCCTTTGAGTTTGGCCTTGCAGCCCGTGTGAAACCTATCTCATATCCGCTGTGTAACGTCTACTACGGTCTCGAGCGGCTGCGTACCGCGCGTGGGTGGGTGAGCAGACAGGTCAACAACTAGTACAAGCGACATAATCATTACAAGCGACAAGCGATCTACGACACAGTCGAGTCGCTCGATTTTATGTCGGAGTCTGTGTTGGAGCATTGGCCGAAAAATTGACCTGGTGTGAGCCAGGCATGAGGCTTCACTCAGTTACAGGCTCGCTATCAGACCAGACTGTCCAGCGTGCAGTAGGATATCGCTCGTAGATCTACTACTAGACTACCGCGTACCGTACTGCACGGCGATGGTTCCAAGACACGAGGGGTCGAAAGGTCACTTATCCACGTGTTCTGAGAACGCTACCAGCTCCACATGCATTCGCTCGCAAGCGAGACTGCGGGCTTGCTGTTGATGAGCTCCCTGCTTGCCTTTAGTGCTAGGAGTTGTTGTTCGGAAGGAGCGCATCATTTCCTTCTTCTCCTTTTTTTGTTTAGAGGACAAGCCTTTACAGGGTAAAACAGATTCAAAAAAGCTTTGTAGTCCTATAATTTGCACCGACAGTATGCAGGTGAGCAGATTTGGGGGAATTCTGCCCTTCATTTACTCGTTCCGCAACTAAAGCAGCGCAGCAAACAAGGTATATTATTGCCATCCCTCCTCTTCCCCTTTCTGTATTCCATGTAGGGAGTTATTGTGTGCTGCTAGAATTTACCTCCCACCATTTGTTGTGACTTGAAGCTTAATCCTTTAACGTTTGCCCCATGCTTCAACTGGTTATAATATTGCCGGTTCGGCAAGCACACTTTCAAAAATAAATTCGTGCTCCACAGCATAGTTGTCCCCAGCGACCTGAAGCTAAGCCACGTCGCACACCCGAGTACCAGAACGGTGCAACAAACATTCCGCATGGGGCGTTTACCGTTGAAACATACAATGTGCTCACATCGTGCTTCGTTGAAACTTAGGAGTTTCACCCGTATTCGAAATGTAGGTGTATTAACAGTATAATCCTGAATCGTTGTTTTATGGAATACACTTTAGAGGGGAAGCTAAGGCTAAAATCAAATTTTTACCAGTTGTAGTCTTCGGGGTGCTGAGTGGAATGGTCTTGGTCCGAAGAAGCTGAGACGCTCCATTCCTTCTTTATTCCCAATCGATCTCGCGCACTTCCACCGAAACTGGGTGACTGCGCCCTACTAGATGGGGATTTGTATGCAAGATGTCACTAAAAGCGCCATTTCGTTCTTATAAAAGCACGGATGACCGCGATTGGCCCATATGTTGTAGTCTTCTGGACGCTGAGTCGACTGGTTTTGGTCCGAGAATGCTGCAATGCAGCGTTCCTCCTTTATTCCCAATAGAACATGGTTGAACAAGCGGTCACGCACCCCCAATCGTGTGTTTTTGGTGGCAGGTGCATGCATGTTGCTTAACTTCTTCTTTCCATGAACCCATGAACTGTGCTCCCGACCTGAGCAGCTAGGGACTCCATCAAATTTCTGAGGCTATAGATCTATTTTGTTCGTTTTTTCTGTGTCTTTACCGTACAGCTGATCAGCTCAGTGTCATCCCCAGAGCCATCAATGGGTACCCATGCTTTCCACCAACCAGTGGACGGACTCGCGCGGACGAATCTTGCTGGTATTCCCAGACAGACTGATGTTCTCCTCCTCTTCATCCAGAGGCTAACATCTTTTCTTTCCAGGTAATGATAGTAGGAGACCAAAGCAATGGGTTCTACATGATGCTGGTATCGTTCCTGATATATGAGATTAGCTATTAGGAATGGTGCTATTGAAGTATGTTCCCTGCACTGCAAACTAATGTCTAGATGCAGCAAAATTTTCCCACGAGCCAATTTTCCAGTTGGGAGCAGTCGTGCCTAGTTTGAATGCAGTGCCAGCAGGATGCCGTTTTGCTGCTAAAATTTGGGGGCAACGGCATCTTGATGTCATGGACTTATCTTGCAGCTGCGTGTCTATTTGTTGTTGTCAGATGCCGTATTTTGTCAGTTGTGCCTGTTTGAAGTTGCCAGGCCAGCTTGTACAGGTGGATTCCTGTTAAGTTTTCGGGGAACCACGTTTGTATTGGCGTTTCCGTTTGCTGTTGCCGGACCCGCGTTTTGTACTGGTGCGTTCCCTTTGGGATTGCCAGTTCAACATGTTTTTAACAGCGTTCCCATTTGCTGTTGCTGGGGCCGTGTTGGTATTGGTACGTTCCCAATGAAGTTGCGGGGCAGAATCTTTGTACAAGCGTTCCCGTGTAATGTTGCCGGGGCTGTACGTAACAGCATTCCCATTTGCTGTTTCAGGGGCTATGTTTGTATTGATGTGTTCTCGTTGAAGTTGCCAGGGCACCACGTTTGTCTATTGTCCTTCTTTGAGGTTTCCAGGCCAATCATGTAACGTGCTCTCGTTTGCTGTGCCGGGTGACGTGTTTGTCAACCGTTCTTGTAGCAACTTGCCACATCGCGCTTAAATAAGACAATAAGAATTACCAGCCATTGCCGGATCCATGTTGTGCATTGGTGCGTTCACGATTAGGATTCCGGGGAATCACGTTTGTAACGGTGTTTCCCGTTGCTGTTGCCGTCGCCATATTTTGTATTGGTGCATTCAAATTGAAGTTGCCGGTAACCATGTTCGTAACAGCATTCCCATTTGCTGATTCAGGGGCTATGTTTGTATTGATGTGTTCCCGTTAGTTACAAGGGCACAACGTATGTTGATTGGGTCTTCTTGAGGTTTCCAGGACAATTATGTAATGTGGTCTCGTTTGCTGTGCCGGGTGACGTGTTTGTCAACCGTGCTAGTAGCAAATTGCCATGCCATGCTTAATAATAAGACAATAAGAATTACCAGCCTTTGCCGCCGGATCCATGTTGTGTGTTGGTGCGTTCACGAATAGGATTCCGGGGAATCACGTTTGTAACGGTGTTTCCCTTTGCTGTTGCAGTAGCCGTGTTTTGTCTTGGTCCATTCAAATTGAAGTTGCCGGGAACCATGTTCGTAACAGCATTCCCATTTGCTGATTCAGGGGCTATGTTTGTATTAACCCTTTGCGGTGCATCAGTCATTAATGACTGATGTTGTGTGCGTACCGTAAAACTGTCGTAACTCCATCGATTTTAGTCCTGTTGCAAATATCGAAATATAGAGATCGAAGAGGAAGCTCCAAGCTTTCCAATAGTGTAATCGCTTTTGCGATAGGACGGAATTTTAATGTGTTCCCGTTGAAGTTGCCAGGGCACCACGTTTGTCGATTGGGCCTCCTTGAGGTTTCCAGGGCAATCATGTAACGTGCTCTCGTTTGCTGTTGCCGGGTGACGTTTTTGTCGACCACGCTTGTGAATTACCATGCTTTTCTTTAAGAATAAGACAATAAGAATTACCAGCCATGCATTGGCTTGTTGTGCACAATGGATCTTGCTGGGCAGCAGTAGAATAATTGCGTGCTAACATATTTCCTAAGCATGATCGCACCCTCGTTCCTGTTCTTGGCAATTTTCCATCATTGGTGGTATTTAAACGAGTGATACATGTAAGAAAGAAGAGAAAAGGGGAAATGGCAAACCCCACAACGTCATATGCGTCCTCTGCTTGGTGGAATGCGAACAGAGTTTAGCAAGCGTATTGTCATGCGGAGTATATGCATGCGTATCCAATCAAATACTTAAGCCGTGGGTCCTTGCGAGTGTGTGCACCCACAATCGTGTGTGTTTGGTGGCAAGTGCATGCATGTTGGTTAACTTCTTCTTTCCATGAGCCCATGAACTGTGCTCCCAGCCTGAACAGCTAGAGACTTCGTCAAATTACTGTGGCCATAGATTTTTTTTCTTTCTGTCTTTACCACAGCTGATCAGCTCAGTGTCATCCCCAGAGCCATCAATGGGTACCCACGCTTTCCACCAACCAGTGGACGGACTCGCGCGGACAAATCTTGCTGGTATTCCCAGACAGACTGATGTTCTCCTCCTCTTCATCCAGCGGCTAACATCTTTTCTTTCCAGGTAATGATAGTAGGAGACCAAAGCAATGGGTTCTACATGATGCTGGGTACCGTTCCTGATATATGAGATTAGCTATTGGGAATGGTGCCATTGAAGTATGTTTCCTGCACTGCAAACTAATGTCTAGATGCAACAAAAGTTACCCACGAGCCAATTTTCCAGTTGTGTGCAATTATGCTTAGTTTGAATGCAATGGCAGCAGGATGCCGTTTTGCTGCTAAAATTTGGGGGCAACGGCATCTTGATGCGATGGACTGATCTTGTAGCAGCGTGCCTATTTGTTGTTGTCAGATGCCGTATTTTGTCAGTTGTGCGTGTTTGAAGTTGCCAGGCCAGCTTGTACTGGTGCATTCCTGTTTAAGTTTTCGGGGAACCACGTTTGTAATGGCGTTTCCGTTTGCTGTTACCGGAGCAGCGTTTTGCACTGGTGCGTTCCTTTTGAGATTGCCAGTTCAACATGTTTGTAACAGCATTCCCGTTTGCTGTTGCTGAGGCTGTGTTGGTATTGGTACGTTCCCAATGAAGTTGCATGGCAGAACCTTTGTACAAGCATTCCCGTTTGATGTTGCCGGGGCCATGCTGTGTATTGTTGCGTTCCCGATTAGGATTCCGGGGAATTACGATTGTAACGGTGGTTTTGTTTGCTGTAGCCGTAGCCGTGTTTTGTATCGGTGCATTCAAATTGAAGTTGCCGGGAACGATGTACATAACAGCATTCACATTTACTGTTTCAGGGGCTTTGTGTTGTATTGATGTGTTCCTGCTGAAGTTGCCAGGGCACCACCTTTGTCGATTGTGTCTGTTTGAGGTTTCCAGGACAATCATGTGATGTGCTCTCGCTTGCTGTTGCCTGGTGATGTGTTTGTCAACCGAGCTTGTAGCATATTGCCATGCTGTGGCATTCCCGAATAGGATTCCGGGGAATCACGTTTGCAATGGTGTTTCCCTTTGCTCTTGCCGTAGCCGTGTTTTGTCATGGTGCATTCAAATTGAAGTTGCCGGGAACCATGTTCGTAACAGCATTCCCATTTGCTGTTTCAGGGGCTATGTATGTATTGATGTGTTCCCGTTGAAGTTACCAGGGCACCACGTTTGTCGATTGTGCCTGTTTGAGGTTGCCAGGCCAATCACGTAACGTGCTCTTGTTTCCTGTGCCGGGTTACGTGTTTGTCAACCGTGCCCGTAGCAAATTGCCATACCGTGCTTAATAACAAGACAATAGAAATGACCAGCCATTGCCGCCGGGTCCATGTTGTGTATTGGTGCGTTCACGATTAGGATTCCGGGGAATCACGTTTGTAACGGTCTTTCCCTTTGCTGTTGCCGTAGCCGTGTTTTGTATTGGTGCATTCAAATTGAAGTTGCCGGGAACCATGTTTGTAACAGTATTCCCATTCGCTGTTTCAGGGGCTATATTTGTATTGATGTGTTCCCGTTGAAGTTGCCAGGGCACCACGTTTGTCGATTTTGCCCGTTTGAGGTTTCCAGGACAATCATGTAACGTGCTCTCGTTTGCCGTTGCCGGGTGACGTGTTTGTCAACCGTGCTTGTGAATTACCATGCCTTGCTTAACAATAGGACAATAAGAATTACCAGCCATGCATTGGCTTGTTGTGCACAATGGATCTTGCTGGGCAGCAGTAGAATAATTGCATGCTAACATATTTCCTAAGCATGAATAGCACCCTCGTCCCTGTACTTGGCAAATTGCTTTCATTGGTGGTATTTAAACGGATAATGGATGTGGCTAATGCGGTCTTTCTTGGCACTTGTGCCAGTGGTTGTGAGACTTATCCCCTCACCCCCACCGTTAGGCGCTGCATCTGCCGCTAGGGTTTACCGGGTGTTAGCGGCCGTCGTGAGCTCCCTTCGGGAACGGACACGATAATTTACTCTTTTTTTTAAACGAGTGTTACATGTAAGAAAGAAGAGAAAAAGGGAAATGGCAAACCCCACAACGTCATGTAGGTTCTCCGCTTGGTGTAGTGCGAGCAGAGTTTAGCAAGCGTATTGGCATGTGGAGTATAAATAATTATGCATGCGTATCCAATCAAATACTTTAGCCGTGGGCCTATAGATCTATTTTTGTTTTTTTTCTGTATCTTTACCGTACAGCTGGTCAGCGCACTGTCATCCCCAGAGCCATGAATGAGTACCCATTCTTTCTACCAACCAGTGGACGGACTCACGCGGACAAATCTTGCTGGGTATTCCCAGATAGGCTGATGTTCTGCTAATCCTCATCCTGCCGCTAACATTTCTTCTTTCAAGGTACTGATAATAGGGGGAAACCCAATGGGTATGGGTATAGAGAGAGAGATATGGAGATAGGAGATAGAGAGAAACATGTACAGATAGGGACAGAGAAATATAGGGAAAGAAGGCAAGAGAGCCAGAGAGAGGGAGAGAGAAGAGAGAGGACGAAGTAGTGGTAGAGATCGAGATAGAGAGATCGAGATAGACAGAGACAGAGGGATAGAGCTAGATAGAGAGACAGAGGGATAGAGCTAGATAGAGAGAGATAGAGATATAGATAGATAGATAGATATACGGATGGGTAGATAGATAGATAGATAGATAGGTAGATAGGTAGATAGGTAGATAGGTAGATAGGTAGATAGATAAAGAGCTATTTTTAACACCTCGTTTCAATGTGATTTATTCTATTCTCCTGATATTTATTGGCTCAGTGTCCGAGTTAACTAAATGGGTATTCGTATATACTATACATCACCAATGACCAACAAGCACAACTGAATTTCTACAAAAGTTGCCTAGTTTGTCCTTTACTCAGAACTGGCAT